GGGGCGTCTCCCCCAGGCTGCCGGGTAGAGGGGGGGGGGGGGGGCCTTGCGGGCTGGAGGGTGCCGGCCCCCGTCCTCCCCCAGCCGGGCCGCCGCCGCCGCGTGTGCTCTGCAGACAAAGGGGGCTTGTTCCAGCGCTCTGTGCATTCAGGGGAGGGTCCCCCGGGGCGCCTGCTCCACCGCCATGGCCGGCCGAGGTGTGTGGGGAGGGGGCAGCCCCCGCCTGCGGTGCGGGGGGCCCCGGGCCCCACGCCGGAAAGGGAAAGAGGGTCTTGGCGCTCAGTGAGACAGTTTGGCCTCGAAGCCCGCTCTGGGCAGGATCCCTTCCTGTGGCAGAATCCCATGGCAGGGCTGACGTGGGCTCCGTGGGGCTGCTGAGTGTTCCCCGGCACAGGCCTCCCCTGGCATGTCAGGGGCAGGGAGCGCGGTCTGCATGGGGCAGGGTGGGCACAGCTTGGGCACTGCCATGACTGTGACTCCTAAGACAAGTCTCTCCTGGGGCAGGCAGGTACAGAGCCTGCTGATGCCCATCATTAGGGCTCAGAGTGAACACCAGGAGTGGTGTTAGGGAAGTGCCCGAGGCCAGCAGAGCCAGGCAGGGCAGCAGGCAACTGGGTTTGGCTGCCAGCGCTGAGTTCACTGGTGGTGAAGGCAGAACAAGGGGCTGTTTGTGCCAGATTTAGCTCCTGGTGAGCGATGCCAGGACTGAGTCGTGTCTGTCCTGGCACATGGGGTGGCCCAGGCACGGGTGCAGCCCCAGTGGTGTCCTGCACTGGGGGGGGGATGACCCATCACCACTGACTCAGCCCCATGGCTGGCAGGACTGGGTGGGCAGAGTACTGGAGTGAAGGTGCAGCCTGCCCTGCCTGCTCGCTTTGCCGGAGCTGCCCGGCGGCAGCAGCGTGGCAGGGGTTAAACCCGGGTGGTCCAGCCAGTGCATGGTGGGACTTGGAGCCCTCAAGGCAGCTGGAGCCTCCTACCAGGAAGGCAGCCCCCCCTCCATGGCTGACTCCCAATGGGAGAGCAGCCTGCCTGTGCATCGTGTCATTGCAATCCCCATGCCCCTGAAGAGCTGGGAGGGCTATGGGGCACTGGGCGCAGCCATGCCTGGCAGAGCCATGGGGCAGTGCTGGGCTAGGCAGGAGGCCTGGCTACCCCTGCCTGGCTCCCCAGGTGCCATGTTGCCCACGGGGAGGGGGATGCCTCCTGAGCCCTGCCTGGGCTGGGAGGGTGTGCCTGGGGGCACCTGTGTGGTGGCCAGCTGGCTGGGGAGCCACAGGTGCCCCCCAGCACTGGGGCCTGGCTGCCGCCCAGCCTGGGCTGTAGAGACGGTGCTGCAGGCAGAGCTCATTTCTCTGCTGGGCTGGGAGCGGCAGGGCAGGGTGAGGAGCCCATGGGCAGGGTGGGCACAGGAGCCCCGGCATGGGGCCAGGCCAGTTCTGCCTGTCACCCTGCCGGCAGCTGTAGGGTCCAGCTGGGTCAGGCTCTGCTCCATGCTGGGCATGGGGGCACAGGGCACCCCAGGTCATGCCCCATGTGCCTCCATGCCCCCTGCCGCTGCCACCATGCCGCCACCACTTGCTTGCTAAGCTCTGCAGTGTGAGGGGCTGGGCAGAGCAATCCCCAGCTGTTGGGAGTGGCAGGATGGGCAGAAATAAATGCCATCACTGGACATTCTGCCTGCCCCGGCTGGGCACTGCCTGTCTCAGGGTTGCCCGCGCTGTACCTACCTGCTGGGGCGGAGGGGATGGGCTGGGCCCCTCTGCGCCTGCAGCAGCATGTGTCTGTGTCCTCCAGGCTGCAGCAGTGTGGGGTACCAGGCTCGTTTTGGCTGTGGGTGCCAGGGCTGGGCACAGCTTGGCATTTCCCTGTTGTTGACTCTCCTGGGTGCGCATGGTGTGATGGCACCCTTTGGGCATCGAAGTAACCACGGGTGCCCAGGCAGGAGCGATGTGGGGCCGGGAGCAGCATCGGGAGGCTGGCATCCGCTCGGGACAAAAGGCCCTTGTGCTGCCCGCGCCTGCGGGGGAATCTGCTGGGACGGGACATTTTTCTTCTCCCCCCCTCCCCAATGCCCTTTTCTTGCTCAGAAATTCATGTGACCAGGGCGGGGGGGAGCCCGGCGCCGCAGATTGCTCTGTGGTGCCCAGGGCACAGACACCCCTTTTTCCGAAGCCTCTTTCTCCCCTGGCACCCAGCGGCAGTGATACCCTCCTTGGGTTGTTCTAGGGGTCTGTACCCCTGCTGATGCCCTCTCTGTCACCCAGGTGGAGGACGGGGGCAAGGCTGCACTGTCCCACCAGCTGCAGCCAGGTGATGAGCTGGTGAACATCAGTGGGACGCCGCTGTACGGGTCCCGCCAGGAGGCCCTCATCCTCATCAAGGGCTCCTACCGCACCCTGAAGATGATCGTCCGCAGGTTGGCAGCGTTGCGAGCTGCGGGGGGGTGGAGGTGGCCAGGGGATCATCACCTGTCTGGGGGGCTGGCAGGAGCCTGGTGGTGCCCCTGTCTCCAGCCTGGAGGTGCCCCATGTTGGAATGGGGTGGGAAGCAGCAGGCAGCCCCACTGTGGCTACCCGCACCCCGTGGTGGTGGTGGTGGTAGGGGGTTCCCCAGCTTGCTGTGCCGCCAGCAGAGCCAGGGCAGCGCGGCAGACTCGCCACCCCCTTGCTGGGCGGTATCCTGGAGTGTGGCCGCTCCTCTCCCTTCCTGCCTGCTGCCTGCCTGCTGCCTGCCCGGGAGAGGAAGGAGAGGCTGTTCTTCCACCCCCCGACCCACATCCACTCCCCAGCTGCGTCCCGACTGGACTCCAGCTCCAGCACACCCCGGGGCTGGGGCGGCACAGGGCATTGCCCACGGGGCAGGGGGTGCCACAGGGCTGTGCCAGGGCTCAGCATCATCCATGGTGAGTTTGGGGGCTCTGTGGGGGAGGGACCTCTGTGCTGACCCTGCAGCTTGTGCCTGCCACTCTCCCTGCCCACCCGGTGTAGGGTGGGGCAGCATTGGGCACTTAGAGGGTACAGCAGGTAGTATCTGCCCATGTGTCTGTGTAGTGGCACTGGACATTGCTGTATGCTCTGGGTGGGACTGGAGACTCCACAGCTGACTGGCACAGGGGGTGGGACAGGGCCTGCCACAGGACCCCTCCCCGGGAACGCGATGTGGCTGGTGCTTGCTGCAGATGCTGAGGGACCAAGGAGCAAGGGGGGAAGGTCAGGCGTGCATTGGGGACACAGGTGTGGCCCCAGGGTCTCTTTGGTGCCTGTGGAGCTGGTCCAGTCCCGGCAGAGACCCTTGCCCTGCCGGGGCATTGCCCACGGGCTGTGCTGTGGCCACATCCTCGGACCCCTGTTGATGTGTGCAGCAGGGACACTACAGGCAGGGGAGCCCCGGCAATGGGGGGGAACTGTGAGAGCCCCTTGCCCGGCGCCAGGCAGGGCTGGACCCTCCTTGCCGCAGTCCCCCTTGGGTGAGTGCTGGCCTGGGGGGACAGGAAGCCCTGTAGGAAGTGACTTCAGCCCCGGTTCCTCGGCCCGGCTTCCTCCCCATTCTTGTCCTCTCCCGCTGTTGCTCTTGGCAGGAGGAGCGTGCCCGTCCTCCGGCCCCATTCCTGGCACGTGGCCAAGCTCGCCGAAAGCCGCCCCGACGCCCCCACCATGCACTGCCCCGCTGACGCCTTCAGCCTCTCCTGGCCCTCGGGGTGTGATGTCAGGTGAGACCCCCAACCCACTCCTGGGGCATCCCTGGGACCGTGCAAGGGGAGAGGGGGCAGACAGGGCCCGCCCTTGGGCTGGGGAGTGCAGGGTGGATGCTCGCCCCAGGCTGCTGTTGCGTATCCCCCCCATCCTGCTGCCGCGCTGCCCTTTCCCCTGACTGTTTACTCGCCAGATCCTGGCAGGAAGGGGCGGTGGCTCCCCCGGCGCCGACCAGGAGCTGCCGAGTCCCTGTGCCCCCCCTGCCAGAGCTGGCAGGTCCCCAGTGGCCGGAGCCATACACGCCCTGTGTCCCGGTCCCCCCTCCTCCTGCCAGTGCCAGGGCAGCCTTGGTGCTGTCCCCAAACCTGGCAGTGAGGGGCAGGTTGGGGCTGTGCTGGCCTGTGCCCCTCTGTCCCTGGAGGGGTGTATGTGGTGGTGGGGTGTTGGCTGCCCAGGATCTCGTGCCTGTTGGAGGGGCTGGTGGGGAGTTGGGTGGGGGGTGGCAGGCGCCCCTAACGCTGGCGTGGGGCCGGGCGGCAGCGAGCTGTCCCTGCAGTGGAACCCGCTGTCCCGGCACTGCAGCACCGACCGGAGCAGCTCCATCGGGAGCATGGAGAGCCTGGACCAGCCCGGCCAGGCCTACTATGAAGGGGACCCCTCGCCCGTTGACCAGGTCATGTACCACAGCAAGCGGGACTCGGCCTACAGCTCCTTCTCCGCCAGCTCCATCGCCTCCGACTGTGCCCTCTCCCTCCGTCCCGAGGAGGCTGCCTCTGTTGACTCCAGCCTCCAAGGCCCCTGCAAGCCCACTGATGGGCGCTACCTGACCACGGGGACCGAGCTGCCCACCAGCCGGCACCCTGAGGCCTGGCGGGCACCCATGCCTCCCCAGCCCCCTGTCAGGAGGGACAGCCTGCGGGCAGCCCCATCTGGAGGAGGGGACAGGCGCCGGGTGCCAGTGTCAGCAGACATGCTGCATGCCAAGGGCCGGTGGATCTCCGACACCTTCCTCTGCCAACGGGACGGGGAGGCGGAGGCAGCAGGCAGCAGGACACTGGTGCCGCACCCCATGAAGGACCGACTCTCTGCTGACCAGTATTACATGCTGAGCTCCCACTCGGAGCGGTGCCCAGCTGAGCCACCTGGGGGGGAGAGCGCGGAGCCTGGAAACCAGCTGTACCCTGATGGTGGCGTGCAACGAGTGCCAGGTGCCGCGGCAGTGGGTGACAACCCACTGCTCTCTCCACTCAAGGGGCACACGCTGCACCGGCACAGTGCTCCTGAGCAGCTGCTGGCCTCCCAGCTCCGCTCTCTCCAGGTGGGCACCAGCAGTGGGCGAGCCTCGCCGGCCCCTGACGGGCACCGCTGGACCCTTTCCCCGCTGCACCCTGAGGGCAGCCGGACGGAGTCTGTGGGGGCTGTCCAGGACCCCCCTGTCTGCCCAGAACCGTGCCACCGCCTGCTACCCTGCCACTGCTGCCCTGAGCCACAGCGAGCCTGTGGGCAGGATGGGCCAGGGTCCAGCCCAGCACGCAGCACCGAGGGGCCAGCAGAGGAGGAGAGCCGGGTGGGGGGCCGGCGGGCTGGGGGCCCTCCCCACCGCTCTGCTCAGATGCGCCGCCGCAGCGACCGCTTTGCCACCAGTCTGCGCAATGAGATACAGCGGCGCAAGGCTCAGCTGCAGAAGAGCCGGGGTCCCGGTGCCCCGCCACCGGGCGAGGAGCCTGTGGAGGAGGCAGATGAGCCACCTGAGGTTAGCGTGCCGGCAGAGAGACCCTGCACCCCAGCTGAGCGTCTCAGCCCTGCACCGAGCAAGGATGGCAGGAACCCCAGCCACTTGGGGGACCGGGGTATCCCCACGCCTGACCCACTGCCAGTCCCCAAAGGGCCCCCATCCCCTGAGCGGGTGGTGCCGATGGGCCGGGGGCGCTGGCGCTGGTCTCCGGAGCGGAAGCTGCAGCAGCAGCACTCGCCCAGCCCCAGCCAGCTGGAGGGCTACAGCCAGGGGCCAGCGGCCACCAGCTCCCCGCCGCAGGGAAGCGATGAGGCTGTCCTCCTGCCCTTTGCCGATCGTCGACGGTTCTTCGAGGAGAGCAGCAGGCTGGTGCCACCCCGGCATGGCAAGCTCCCGGCAAGTGACCCTAGTGCCTTCCAGCCCCCTGAGCGCCGGGACACCCGCCGCCTCTCTATTGACCAGCCCTATGGATCCCCTTCGGCTGGCCGCCCTGGCTCTGCCAGCCCCTACGCCGAGTGCTGCCGGGAGCAGCCTCCCTGCTACAAGCCTCTGGGCAGGCCAGGGGAGCTGGAGTACCTGCGGGGCTTCTCCTACCCCTGTGGGGGTTCCCTGCGCCCTGAGCCCTGCTACTACTGTGGGGGAGAACTGGGGCCCCCGCCGCTGCCCCGCAGCCACACATGCCGCTGCCATCCCCAGCCCTGGGTGCGCTGCCCTGACTGCTGCTGCCCAGCCCCCCGTCCTGGGCGGGAGGAGAGTGATGCCTGGCCACCCCGGAGAGCTTTCGCCCCGGTAAGTGAACCACCCCCCCAGGACAGCAGCACTGGCACTACGTTGCACCCCCAGAGAGTGCACCCCCAGGGCTGGGGTGAAGGATACTGCCCCATGGGGGGGTCCTGCAGACGCCCTGCATGCCTCCTGTGCCTGGACAGGGATGGTTTGAGGGTGCTGGGGAAGGGGATGCTGACTGCGCTTTCACATTCTCTCTCCTTCCCCCACACAGGAATTTCCTCTGGATGAGTGGGAACCACCAGCAGTCACCAGGAAAGCCAGCCAGTCCATCAGGTGAGCCCACGCCGGGTGCCAGGATGTGCATGCCACTTGGGAAGGACCTCCACCAGTGGGGCGTGGGGACCAGTGTGATTTTAGTTGGTGATGTACAAAGTGCCTCCCTTAATGCCGTGGGCACAGCCACGTTGTGCCCTGTGAAGTGGGTGCACAGGCCACCATGACCAAGTGGGGCTTGGGGGTGGGAGGACGTGCATGGGGGGATGTGGGTGGGTCCCTCCTTACTCATCCTGTGGGGGCTAGGGGGCATCTCTGGGGGGCTGTGCCCAGTGCAAGGACACCGGGGGAGTCCAGGCTTCCCCCACTAGTGGGGCTGGGTGACTCCAGCTGGGGAAACTGAGGCAGGGGTGGGCATGAACTGTTGGGGGGGTGACTGACGGGGATGGGTGCCTCCTTCTCTCCCCAGTGAGCTCTCCCACTACCAACTGGGCTTCTCGAGGCTTGGCCCCTTCCGCCCCTGCTTTGAGAGCTCAGAGACAGAGTGGCCACCCTGCTACCGGGCCACATCCACACACGACCTCTCATGGGATGGTGACCGCCTGGCCCGCTCCCCTGAGAGTCCCTCAGAGCCCTTGCACCGCCCGCTGCGGGGCAGAGCCTTCTCTGAGAGCCACCTCAACCTGGAGCCTGCCAGCCCCCGGGGCCACGACCGCAGGGACCTTCTCCGTGCCAAGCTGGACCCTGCTGGTGTCCCAAAAAAAAAGGGCCCCCCACCTCCCCGCCCGCCTCCCCCCAACTGGGAGAAGTACAGGCAGCACCGGATGTCCCAGCGCCTGCCAGATGGATCTGGGCATGGTTCTGCCTTCACCGCCACCCCAGTGCCGACCCGCAGCATCGCCGAGGCCGTGCGTGAGCGGTCACAGAGCCTCACCGGGGAGCAGGGGGGCCGGTCCCGGGGCCACACCGCTCGCCCTCCTGCCCCGCCGGGCGCCTGGCCCCGACCTGAGCCCCCCAGCTCGCTCCACAGGACGCCTGAGCCCGATGCTGGCAGCGCCGAGATTTGCAGGCAAGTACCGCTGCGGCGCTGGGGATGGGAGCGGGGCTGCATGCACAGCCTGGGCACAGGGTAGCTTTTGGGGCCATGTGGCCTTTGAACCTCCTAATCCACCCCTTTGGATGTGCTGTGGGGTTTTCTCAGGATGAGGGGTGTCCTTGACCTTTCCCTGGGGGTGGCCTGGGCGGGTGGGGACGGGAACTGATGTGAGTGCCCCTGGGCGGGTGTCAGCAGGGCTGCAGGGGCTGGGGAGGAGCGGCCAAAGGCGAAGCACCTCTGGGAGATGGAGGAGCAGCCCCAAAGGCTCAGCTGGAACCAGGAGCAGGGCTGGGCTGCCCCCCGTGGGGTGGGTGAGTGCTCCCTGCCCCTCCATGGTGGTCCTGGCCCCACCACCCCTGAAGCACCCGAGCCCAGCCCTGGAGCAACAGAGGATGTGAGCTGCCAAGGGGACCAGCCGCAGCCCCACCGCATGGGCTCGGAGGAGCTGCTGTGGGATTTGGCAGGCAGGGACCACTCCCTGGCCGGCATCCTGGCCCCCTTGGCCCATGTTGGCCCCACCACCGAGGTGATGGGCGAGCTGCTGGTGGCAGGGGAGCGGCAGGCCTGGCGGGAACGTTTCCAGCAGGACTGGCCCCTGGAGGCCCTGGTGCAGGACAGGTAGGGCTGGTGAAGCACTGGGCGCCATGCCGAGGACAGGCTGCACCCACCGCTTGCGGCATTGAGCCCCTGTTCCCACAGGCAGGGCTTTGAGCCCATCTCGCCGCCCCCTGGGAGTGCTGCCAGCTCCACTGCCTACCCGGCATACTATGGCGTGGCAGCCGGCAAAGCTGAGCCACTCGGCAAGGTGAAAGAGCTGCCGGAGGTGGTGGAGGGGAGCTCGGAGGAGGAGGATGTCGACCGCGAGCTGGTGGAGAAGAAGGTACTGCTGGGGATGATGCCCTCGGGGTTCCTCTCTGCCATCTCCAGGTGCTCGCGGGGACTGGAGACATTGCTGGATGCTCACAGGGACTGAGGCAGTGCTGGTTGCTCATGGGAACTTGGGGCATCACCAGGTGCCCACGGAGACCAGGACATCACTGGGTGCTCACAGGGACTACTGGGATTGCCAGATGCATGTGAGCAGCTGGGGTGTTGTCAGGTGCTTGTGGGCCTTGGAATGTCACCAAATGCTTGTGGGAACCAAGGGCATCACCAGATGCTCACAGGGACCAGGGGCATTGCTCAGTACTTGCAGGGACTGGGACATTGCCAGGTGGTCACAGGGACGGGGGGCATCGCTGGGTGCTTGGGGGGACCAGATGCATCAGTGTGTGTTCGTGGGAACTGGTGGCATTGTTGGTAGCTCATGGGGACTGAGACTGCCTGGTGCTCGGAGGGATTGGGAGTGTTGCTGGTAGCTCATGGGAACTGGGGGCATTACCAGATGCTCACAGTCTGAGTCCCATGCAGCATGGCACACCTGCACCCATGTGCCAATCCCCCAGTCCCAGCAGGGGGTGTCCCCAGTTGCCCCTGACCCCTTCTCTCCGGCAGCTGCAGCTGATTGAGAGCCTGAGCCGCAAGCTGGCGGTGCTGCAGGAGGCGCAGCGGGGGCTGCAGGAGGACATCAGCGCCAATGGGGCACTGGGTGAGGATGTGGCTGCCCGCCTGCAAGCCCTCTGCACCCCGGGGGAGTTTGACAAGTACCGCCTCTTTGTGGGTGACCTGGACAAGGTGGTCAACCTACTGCTCTCCCTCTCGGGGCGCCTGGCCCGTGTGGAGACTGCCCTCGACAGCCTGGGGCCACACGCTCCCACTGAGGACAAGGTGGGCATGGGGCAGGGGGGCACCCACAGGATTTTGGGATGTGGGACACCCTGCCAACGCCACCTGTCTTGCCTGCAGGTGGCCCTGCGGGAAAAGCGGCGGCTGCTGGCAGCACAGCTGGAGGACGCCAAGGAGCTGAAGGAGCACGTGGGGCGGCGCGAGGAGGCAGTGGGCGCCATGGTGGCGCGGTACCTGCCCGCCGAGCACCTCCAGGACTACCAGCACTTTGTCAAGATGAAGTCAGCCCTCATTGCCGAGCAGCGGGAGCTGGAGGAGAAGATCAAGCTGGGCCAGGAGCAGCTCCGCTGCCTCCGCGAGAGCCTTGGCCAGGCCCCCAAGGGCTGCTAGCCCCCCTGCCCAGCCTCCCCCCAGGACCCTGGCCATGGCCCCAGCTTGCTGCCAAAGTGAATCCGTCCCCTCAGGGGCTCTCCCTGCATCCGTCCGTCTGTCCAGACCCTGCCTTTTATTTATTTTTCCTGTTTACCAAGCAGGGGAGGGGGTGCCAGTCCAGGCACTGGCAGGGGGCGTCCTGCCATAGACCTGCCCTGGGCTTGATGGCCGCCTAGCACCCTGTGGCCCAGCAGAACCAGATGGACGGATCCTGCCACCCCCCATCTTTCTGTGCTTGTGGGGGTCCCTTTGCAGCAGTGCCTGTCCCGCAGCCTGTGCTGCACCATGTGCCTTAAAGATCCCCTGGCTGCCCCGGGGCATCCCCACACGGTGCCTGGAAGGGTTAAACTGTCCTCCTCCTCCGTCATGTCTGTTTGTCCACCTCTGTCCATCTGTCCGGTGGGAGCTGGAGGAATTTTGGCCCCAGGCATCCTCTTCCTCTCCATTGTGTCCAAAACAATGGCCCTGGCCAGCGGGACCTTAACCCCTTCACCACTGTCCCCAGCCACTGTGGGGGGCCAAGGTGGGTGTTGGTGGCTGCTGTGCAACCCTCTTCTAGGGTACACTGCAGTGGGTGCCCCCGGGATGGTGCCCTGCCAGGGCACGGGGTGCTGGGAGCTGTAGCCACTGGTGCTGTGGGCACGGGGACCACCCGGCCTCATCCAGCCCTTGCTTCCAGCCTCTGCCCTGGCACCAGGAAGGATTAATAGAGAAAAAAAGCATGCTAAGGACGAAACAGGGCATCTGTCCTGGTCCTCTGTATCGTTGCAGCCCCAAATAGCACTTTGGCCTCACCCTGGGTTGCTCTGCCACCGTGCCACTGTCTGTCCCCATGGGATGGGCAGGCACCTTGATGCTGTTTTTGCACAGGGATTTCACGCAACGAAGAGCAGCTTTGGGTGGGGTGGGGGAAGCATTTTTGGGGAAGCAGGGTGGGCCCGAGCCTCAGGGTCCAGGGAGCCCCTTGGCACTGCAGCAGCCCCCCTGCTCCTCCTGTGGCTCCCCCAGCCCGTTGAACACTACACCCCACACCTGCCTAGCCCTGCCCTGGGATGGTGCCTGGCAGGAGTGGGGTCCCCTGCATGTCCCCTGTCTCAGCCACCCCTGTGCCTGCTCGGGTACACTGCTAGGACCAAAGACTGCACCCACTAGGAGCGGGGGGACATGCTGCTCTTGGGGGGGACCGGCAGCCCTCCTCAGCACCAGGGGGGTGTACCAGTGCCCATGCCTTGCCTTGTGCCCTTGTGCCTCTCTCACACTAAAGGAGCAGCAGCAGCTGCACAACTGTCTGCGTTCTGTCTGGTGTATGGTTTGTGCCTGTGTCCCCAGCCAGTGGCACCGGGGCTGGGGGATGCTGCAGCTGGGGTGAGCTGAGCCCTGGTGACCACAAATGCCCCTGTGGCACTGCAGGCACCTGGGGTGCAGCTGTGGGCAGAGGGTTTTCTGCACCCAGTGCCACCAGGCTAGGTCTGGGCAGGGGCCGTGCCTGGACCCCTCCCCAGGGGTGCATGGGAAGGGCATAACACTTAGGTGATGGCTGTGGTATTGTACCTGGCACTCACAGCTATAGCATCGCTGCCAGAATGTCTGGGGGGGCACTGGGAAGGGGATGGCCCAGTGCAGGTGGCAGTGTCAGAGGGGTGTGGCATGGTGCTTGCTGCTGCTGAGCTGGCTGCGAGGCGCCCTGGTCCACCCCAGCATGGCAAGGAGGCGTGGGCGGGCACAGCCACTGTTCCCTTGCTGGCCAAATGCCTTCCCCAGGGCCTCTGTGTGCCAGCCAGGTGCCACGGAGAGGGGCCTGGCACACCCTCCCTATGTCAGGGCACTGAGGGCTTCGTGCCCAGGCATGGCAGCCCCATGGCCTTGGGGAGTGTGGGGGCAGTCGCGGTGCAAAGGCAGAGCACGCCACTGGGTGGCCCCAGCACACGCACGCACCTGGGGACATGAGTGCAGGGGGCTGTGAGCACACGCACACGTGTTGGGGCATGAGTGTGGGGGGCATGTGAGCATACATGTGTGTAGATGGGCACATGTGCTGGAGTGCATGCACGTGCGTGTTAGCATGAAAACATGGAGGGATGCTTGCATATGAGCCCATGCATGTGCAGGTGAGCACATGTGCACAGGGGTGAGTGTGTGTGAGTGTGTGTGAATATGTGTGAGCACACACCAGGGTAAAGGCATGCATGCACACAGAAGCATTTAGATGAACAGTTGAGAGCGTGCCAAGTGTGAACACCTGGCTGCATGGGGGAATGCAGGCACGTGCAGGTCAGTGCACACAGGGGAACACATGCGCACACAGGGGAATGCAGGCACACGAGTGTAAGCACAACAAATGACCATGCACACAGACAGATGAATGCACACACATACATGTGAGCGCACACACAGGTGAGTACACACCATACATGTGAACACATGTGCAGAGGGAGAAGCACAGCCCCATGCCGGGGAGCACGAGCACTAGTGGTAGGTGACTGCACATGTGAATGAACACACATGCAGGTGAATGTGTCCACATGTGTGTGGTGTGCACATGTGAATGCATACACACGTGTGCACATGCAGGTGAGCAAATGCACAGGCAGGTAAGCACACATGGGTGAATCTGTGCACATGTGTGTGAGTGTGTATGGGCAGGGCTACTTCTGCAAGCCCACGCATACCAATAGCTGCACGCACACAGGGAGGGGGACACACATGTGTCTGTCTGTGCCCCATGTCTTCCTTGTGGTGGGGACCCCAGAGCTGGAGACAGCACTGCAGGGGGTTCTCCTCAGAGCAGAGGGGCAGAATCCCCCCTCCGCCCTGCTGGGGCCACACTGCTGGGGATACAGCCCAGGACACGGGCGTCTTTTTGGGCTGTGAGTGCACGTGTCCAGCTCCTATAGCTTGTGTGCATGCGTGAGTGTGTACAAGTGTGTGGAGGCATTGGTGTGTGTGCTCACCTGTGCCTGGGCATACCCATGCACATACATATGCACTTACAGTTGCATGGAGGTGGTGCATGTGGTCACCCGTGCCTGAGCTGTGCATGCTGATGCGTGCTTGGGCATGTGCACACATACGTGCATGGCCACAGCATGTAAGCTCACCTGTGCCATCCATCTGCATGCCCTTGCCCATGTGGGCAGTGCACACATATGTGCATGGGGGTAGCGTGTGTGCTCTCCTGTGCGTGGGCATGTGCACACATATGTGCATGGCAGCAGTGCATGTGCATCCCCATGCCTGGGCCGTGCCTACCCGTGCACGTGTGGGAGGTGCACACATATGTGCACGGCAGTGGTGCATGTTCCCTCCCATGCTGGGGCTGTGCCCGCCCGTGCATGTGCTCTCCCACGCCCGTGCATGTGTGGGCATTTACAGACGTATGTGCGCGGTGGCGGTGCGGGGCCCCCCCCGCCCGTGCCCGGTGGTCGCTCGCCGCCCGCGCGCGGTGCGGGTGCCCGCCTGCCCGCGTGCCCGGCCGTGCGTGGGCCG